TTTTAAGATATCATACTAGGTTCGCTGTTCTAAAACTTGACAAACATAGTGCCAAATGCAATATTTACTCATGCACATACCAATAGAAATGTTGGGAAGACTACAAAAAACTGTTAATGGTGAAAGTTACTTCTTGCTCAGGATTTTAATCAAAAAATATAAGCTTTTTTAAATGTTGGAATAATTGTAGTTTGAACTTTCGGTGGTTCAGAGATAAACTCTGTTCATAAATTTCCAGTGTTTCACTCTGCTTTAAATTATGATGGAAAAGATGAGTAAGAAACAATTACCTCTGAGGCAGAAAGTAATCACTGTTAATGAAGCCAGCAGCAGACTTGAAAAATGTGGAACATAATATCCACAGCACACAGTTTTCAAACTCAATCCAGGAGAAAGTGTAGCAGCAGACAGAGTTGATGATTTACTCTCAGTGTGTTTCTAAAGGGCTGGTGGCTCTTAATCTGACATTGTGCTGAATAAAAAATAAATAAATGCTGCTCTTATAGTTAAAGCTGGATTTCTCTGCTTGAATCTGTATGGGAAGATTAAAAGGGTCATACTGGTGCTGATTTGCTCCAGCTGTAGATCACAGTAACAGTTACCGCACCAAAGAGCAGGGTCTGATAAAGAAGCAATCCCTCCACAAGATTACTCCAGATACAAGATACATGATTTATTTAGAGTGTGTGTGTGTGTGTGTGTGTGTGTGTGGGGGGGGGGAATTACTTCTCCATATTGAATATGTTTTACAGCTGCATCACACATATAGCGTGTGAAAGAGGATGGACAAACCCCCATCTTTCCACAATCACCATTGCTGCATTCGCAACTTTAGCTGAAGTGGATAATCACATTTTACAAGACGCAGCGCCCAATAAAACTCCAGCACACAAATCAAAAGTGGTCCCAAATTGATTAGCTTTTCTCCAGCGTGTGTCTGAGGAAGATAGCGTACCTCTGACTGTGCTGCAGTGACATGTATAGATCTTGTTCTGGTCAGACTGAGCAGCGCTGCACTTGAGAGATGCCAGCTGCTGCATAAAAACAGCCTCAAGAAATAATTCAGCAGTTTTGAGTTGTGCTCTTGCTTTGAGAGAAGACAGTGAGGAATATGGCTATAAAACAAAATTAGGATATTTGATTTTTCTTCTGGAAATGTTTTATATGAAGGATGCAATTTATTTTTTTTAATGATAGCTTTATTCTGGCTGAATATTTTAAACTGAGGCAGTGCCTCCCAATGAATAAATTAAACCAAACAGCATAACTGCAGCAGAGGCAGCTCTGTAAGACATAAAAGTCGAACCATTCTCATAAACAGAGTTCTCCCATTTGATATATTAAAGGTGGTTGTAATGTAGATTCATATCCAGAAAACATTGGTTACTCGTAGTCTGAAAAGGTTTTGAACGTTAATTAAACTTTTGCATTGCTGTACAGACACTATTGTACTGTAAAATCCCATAAATAAAATGTACTGCACTAAAAGTCTTGATGTGGGGGCATCCGTCAGATTCTTATGGTCTGAATAACCTTGAGTGAAAAATATGTCAATACAATATCACACAATATAGCATAGCATAATCTACCAACTTTTACTTACATTAAACAGAAAGGCAACAATTGTACTCAAAGACATATTTTTATTTTTATATACAGTCATAAGGAAACATAATATATAGGAATGATTCTGTTTCCATTCTATAGCTGTTTATTTCCATGTGTATTTCCAGATTTTTTTGAGAATTTTAGCAAATACTTAAAGTAGGAGTCTTTCCACAACCAATACATTATCCATTATTCTTATTACAATGACTTTATAATGTTGGAAAGGTATGGCCGAACATTTCAGCAGTTTTAAACATTCCTTTGGTGATCTAAGTGATGGAGAAGTAAAGTAACCTTCTTTCAGCCAGCTGAGCAGCAGGCTGCAGCAAAGTGTGGGGAAAGGTGGAGGTGTTGCAGGGTGGCTGCATTAATCTGTTCAGTGCAGCTAGAAGAAAATTGATTACTGTTGCCTTGGTTCTGTCTAATTAAAAGCTCTTTAAACTTTGTTAAATGGAATGGAGAAATAATGTCTTTGTCTTTGAAGACAAAATTCTTTTAACTAAATATCACTAAACAGTGTCCTGTAATACGATGGTAATTGTAGCAGGAGAAAAAAATTTGTTAGACAGTTTAGTTTTTATGCTTCTACTTCCCTTATTTTGAATTGGGTGGAAATTTTACTAAGCAAATGGACATGAAAGCAGCATTGTTTTATAAAATAGCATGAAAAGCAGGGGAGAGAGTACCGGACAAAAAACAGGTAAATTGATTGGAGATAATTTACTGCTGGGAGAGCAGCAGGTAACTAAGGGAAACTCAAACTGCAGATAGATGTGGGAGCAGAATTACAGAAGTTATTGCAGAACTCTTTAGGAAATACCAAGCTCAGGGATAAACCAATGTGAATACAAACATTAAACCAAGTCAAAGTCCAAAATCTATAAGAGTACAGACACAGAAATGCCATCAGGTCATTACAATACCCTCCCCTCTAGGGAGGGACTCTGACCCTTCCCTAAAAGTAAAAAAAAGAAATAAAAAGCAGAGCTGAATATGAATAATCCAAAGGTATGGTTGGGGTAGTGCTTCAAAAAGACAGAGAGAGCTGCAGGATGGCTTTAGGGGTGCAGAAATTGAGTCCAGGAGGAGGGCTCAGAGGCTGTGCAGTAACATTTACAAGATACAAAAGAAGAAACAAACAAACCCTGAGATATGTAGACTCTAAACACTAAACATGCAATTCTCAAATTATTATCAAAAAGTTTAAGGAACAAAATTTTGCCCAAAAGGCAAGGTGAAAAACCTTCCATCCTTTTTAACCTCAAATCTTGGGCATATGACAACTGATTTCTGGAGAGAGCTTCAAAGTCAATTCTGTAAAACAAGAATCTACTCACAATCCTCACAATGATAAAAAAAAAAGCACATCTAAAACTTAAAAAAAGCCTAAAGTTGTGATGGGCCCAAGAGTCTGTCAAACATGAAAGCCTCTTGAATCAAAGAACAAACTGAATAAAACAGATCAGACATTTGGCAAATAACCTGTTTTACATGGTAGCTGTTCCAACAGCTGGACACAAAGGCTCACTGGGTTGGTTTGTTTGTTTTGCTTTTTGATTTTTTTGGCTGAATCTTTGATGAAAAGTAAAACATTTGCTCAAAACAAACAGCATTTCAGGCTGAACAAGGAAATATGAGCTGAAAAATTTGCATCCCTTAATAGATGACCTTTCAGGTGATGACCTGGTACTAAATGATGAGACTTCCCTGAGGGATTGTGATTTGCAATGTTTTTTTGTTTTTTTATTGTTTCTAGTTTTCTAAGGTAATATTTGGATATACAGTTAAACTGTTGTAGATAGTTTTCTATGCCTAAACAATCTTATATATATATATATATATATATATATATATATA